TTAGTCATTCCTTGCACTGAAGCCATTCCACACCTCCGATCACTCCTGCTGCCCTCTCTGAACCTTCCCCAGTTCTAAGACATATTTCTGAGGAGAGATTAGAAGCACACACAGTATCTAAAGTACAGGGGTGCCACAGACTCACACAATGGAGTGAGATAGTTTTTGTTCTGTTCTCTTTCTTTAATTAATGCTAACATTTGATTTGCTTTTTGCACATCAAGCACTGAGACAACATTTTCATGGAATCATCTATCCTGATGCTATAAAAGTGACCCTTCCCTTTGATCCCTCCTCTCTTTGTGCAGCACTTCTTACTGATACTGAATTTCATCTGCTAAGTCCCTCCAGTTTGAATGGTCCTTCTATAATACTCATCAGTCTGTTCTCATTCCCATACTGAACACCACACAAGGATCTCACTATTCCACATCCAAAATAAGATTTAGTGAACTCCAGGATTACCTGTTATGCTGAAACAGACAAACCAGAATCCCTAAGCAACAGTCAAAAGGTACTGAAGACAAATGTTAACAAACTGAAAGCTGTGTTTTTATAAACTACCTGTCCCCTCTATTTTCTCCTCTTGGAAAGGCTTCCACCCCCAAGTGCCAAGAGAATGGAATGTGCAGTTGGGACTCCAGTCACTCCCCCAAAAAATGTGGTGGTTTAGCATAAAATCCTTTCCTTGGAACTTAAGCTAAGACACCTGAGTCTCCATTGGAAGGCCTCAGGTGCAGGCACACGTTCCTTCTGATGCCTGTGCTGGGCTGGCAGTGCCTCCCAGCAGAGATGCAGCAGCAGGGCTGTCTGTCTAAGGTGCAGTAACTTCACCACAGCTCGGTGTCACACTCTGAGGGCTGGGCCCAACCTCATGTGCCTTCCCATCCAAAATTCCTACTGACTGCAAGGGGAACTTTTTCCATGTAAAGATACAAGGCTGGATGCTCACTAGAAAATTAAGTAAACACAGTGAGGGTGGCCCTCCCATAAAGACATGCAGACATGCAAAAGCTCTTTCCACTCCTTTTCTGAGCACGCCTTTACAATTTCCTTATGAAGTTTTGTTATAACAAAGCCTGGTGTTTGAAATGTGCATAAGTACAATACAGCATTTATACTTAGTCAAAGAAACTCCCCAAATACTAAAATCCTGCCCTAAAGTATCTACATGCCATCTACTCACTTTGAACTGTCTTGATTTGATTAACAGACAATCATACCACACTTTCAAATCCACCTACCATGAAAAAAACTATGTGAAAGACACTCTTAATTAGACAATTTTAAATAAAATGTTCAGATATAATACTAGATATAGTCAAACTTATAAAAAATATAATCAGCTTAATACCTTCTTTACTTTGTATGAAGGGAATTATTCTAACAAGGCACAGTTATTTTTATTTTGTGAGTTATAATAACTGGGAATTTTGAACATTATTCTATGAAAACTCAATACACATATAAAAAAGCAAATCAGAAATATTAACCTTTATTTTTAGAATATTATCAGAGTATTGTATGTTCTGCTTTAAGAGAAGATAATCTGGCTCACTAAATATGAAAGCAAAAAATGGAACATTCTTCCCCAGAAATAAACTGCAAGAAGCCCATCAAGAAAAAGCTCGAACAGTAATGAAGCTGAAAATAATCTGAACACTCACTGTTCTGGTTTTTCAGTTTCATATTAGAAATGCAGTGAAGACAATGCTGGACAATATTTTCTCCAAGAACTGATGACTGCTCCCTCCATATTATCAGATCTGAAATGAGAAAAGAAAGCCATTCTTGAAGATCAGCTGCCATCTAGTGAATGGCGAGAGAACTGTTTAAAACATCACTTTCATTTCTTTGTCGGTTTAAACTAGACTGCTGGTGGAACAACTTTGTCATTGTAAATTTTGGGGCCTGTAAATTATTCAGGAGATTGGCTATTAAAAGGTGTGCATTCCAAAGCAGAGCAATGTCACTCAGCAAAGTTTTCTATTAAATTATAAATAAACAAAGTCTTGATCCCACAGTTTGCTCAAAAAAAGCCAATCCTGTGCACTTTCAATAGAATATATTAGTGTTTTGGGGGCTCCATATCATTACACTAAAAAGAACTGAACTAATAGTGTCTTAAAGTAACATAATCAGTATTACAACAATAAACTACAATAAAAAAATTGAAGAAGTTTAAATTAAAATTCACAGAAATGTGCTCATCAAGTAACAATATCATAGTTTTTATGTTGGACACCAAGCATGTTATTGTTATATGCATATTTTACTCTTACTAATTTATAGATAACTCGAATACACCCAAAAATATTAGTAGTGTGCATTAACACTGTCAAATCTCCTATGTAAGATAAGACCACTGTGCTTCACGAATTAGTACTTCACTCCAGCCTAATATTTCCATGAAACAAGATGTATTCCCCTGATATCTCAGATGATATGTATCTTCTCTATACTGATGCTTTGCTTATTAAAAGGAAGTAGAGGATTTGTATAAATAAGTTGATAGAGGCTGGAACTCCCTCTTTTACAGTTTGAACTGATCCAAGAAGACCTGAAGTTCTCCTCACTAAAGCCAACAGGTGCTCAAATCAATAATTCTAACAACTATTATTTGGAATTCTTTGTTACTCAAGATGAGATTTGCAGGTGTTTTCCTTCTCCTAAGAAATCAGATTTTTCAGATGCTACAATAAGTGTGTTAAAAAGAACAACCATATATGAATACAGACCACTGAGCTCATTGTAAATATCCACTTTTCCATACTTTTCTTTCCTAAACACAACTTTTTCAAACCAAGCAGAGAGTCTATGCTTACAGCTTGAAACTCAGAAACACAAATCTGCCATTTTAAACAGAGTATGTTTTTTGTTTAATCGAATGCGTACTTGAGGGCACTCGTGTTTACGAGAACCTTCGAGGGAAAGAAATAAAACAAGAGAATGTGTTTATAAGACATTGGCTTGAAAATACATTTGCCTTCTTGGAATGAAAGCTCCTTGTAATCTTTTGTCTGTACATTCTCTAGACAGACATTAGTGTGTCCCACACTAAGTGCCTAATAAGTCTACATATTCCATACAGGCATATTCCACATAAACATTTGCATATGTGTGCGGTATAAAACCATGCTATGAAAACAAAGATTAAGTCAGTATCCAGGAGTAAAGGAATAGAAAATAAACACTGAAAGGAGAAAAATTGGTCAAGAATTGAAAGCAAATATCCCATAGGCCCTTTTGCACATAATTGGGCTTAAAGAGAAGGCTTGCAGGCTTTCCCACTGCTCGGCCCTAGGTCGTTCTGAGTTCTATTCAGCATTTTGAATTATCTGAACTGGCTCTGTTAACACTGCCTGCTTTTATTTGTAGGAGTTACTGAAATATTTTGTGCACAGCCCTTGGTTCGGTAAGGAATGGGATTAATTGGGCCACCATCAGAAAGGTTTTCTGATGCTTCCCCCGCTGAGGCCTTCAGAATACGTGCAGGAAATATTGTAGTTGTGCTGTAAACCACCTTCTCTGGTTTTCTGTGAATATAATTGTGTCTGACTGGCCTCGTGCATTTGAGATGCCAATTCTCATATGCATAGGGTCTCAAATAAAGTCTGTATGTATTTGGTACTTGTGTGACTTTGCTTAAAATGAAGCTACTTGCAAGAATAAAATTATGCACACACTAAACTTTATAGAACACAATTTTATCTTGTATCCCACAATGCTGACAGACCTCCTGGACAGTTTTTATAAAAGTGCTGCACAATTCATGGCACAATTTAAGAAGATGGTGATGGACCAAAACTTTCTACAATTTTTTTCTTAAATGCTGATTAAGTGTTTGTCAGAGCAACATACTACAACATTTTTACAAATTGTTGAATAAATATGTGTCTTAATTACTTGTATCAGCTTCTCAAGTCAGTTGTGTGGCTTCACACGTGTTTTTAATGAGCACCCACAGCTGACTCAGCCCTGACCACTGGTGACAAAGGTGGTGTCCTGAGCCAAGGAAAGCACTTGGCAGGGTCATGGGAAAGGGGAAGCCCAACTTTTGAGAACACGTTTAAGAGGCGCCAAACGAACAAGCAGGAGGTGCTGAGGAGATGAAATGAGGGCAACAAAATGAGGGCAGTGAGTGATCCCTGCCATGAGCAGCTCTGTGGAGAACAAGCCAAGTGGCAATGGGAAAAGGGGGGCAGTCCATTTCGTCTGTGGGATAAAGGTATAAGAAGTCTCTAGAACACATTCACCTCACAGGCAGTGCTTTGACAGCCCTTCAAAAGGGAAGGCCCAGGGAGGCGGCTGAGGCAGGACCTGAGGGAGGTGGGGGACATGGAGTACTGTGTCCAGTTCCGGGCCCCTCAGCTCAGGAAGGGCAACAAAGCTGGTGAAGGGTCTTGAGCCCAAATCCAATGAGGAGCAGCTGAGGGAGCTGGGGATGCTTATCCTGGAGAAAAGGAGGCTCAGCTGGGACCTTATCCCTCTGTACAGTTCCCCGAAAGCAGGCTGTAGCCAGGTAGGGGGTCGGACTGTTCTCCCCGGCAACAAGTGACAGGACAGGAGGACAAGCTGCCTTAGGCGCGGTTTAGGTTGGGCATTAGTAAGAATTTCTCCACAGCACGGTTGATTAGACACTGGCACGGGCTGCGCAGGGCGGGGCGGTCCCTGCAGGTGTTTAATGAATGACTGGACGGGGCACACTGAACGCCGCTACTGACACGGTCACTCCTCCGAGCCTGTGGCGGCTGAGGCGGGGCCCAGCGCGCGTGCTCTGCTGTGGCGCATGCGCGGGGCCGCCTGTCAGCGCGGGAGCGGCTCCGCTGCTCTCCATGCCGGGGGAAAACATTCCCTGCTGCCGGCTGTGTCATCCCGGCCGGCGCATTCCCGGCTGTCCCGTTCCGGAGCGGCAATGCCGGGGGGGCTGCAGTGTCCCTAGCGGTGGCGAAACGGGAGCCCCGCGGGAGGGCGAGGCGCGGTGAGTGAGGAGCCGGCCGGGCCGGTGCGGAGCGGGACGGGTCGCTGCCCTCGGCCGCGGCGGGGACGATGGAGCCGGGGGCCCTGAAGCTGCTCCCGCCGGACCCGGGAGATGAGGGCACGCAGCGCTGCCGGCTGGGACCTGCCGTGCTGTCCTGGCTGGGGGCCCGGCTCGGCTCCCCGCTGCGGATCTCGCTGCCCGGCGGGTGCTGCGTGTGCACGGCGTGGCCCCGGCACGACCTGGCCGACGGGTTCGTTCAGGCGGACCCGACCTGCAGCACCGCGGGCCTGGCCCCGCAGGCCCTGCGCGGGCTCTCGCTGGGTGTGCGGCAGCTGCAGCTGCTGCCCCACCGCCAGCTGGGGAAGGCGGCGGTCAGAGTGGTCCTCAGGAGCGCCGCGCTCAAGAAGTCGACCCCCAGAGCGGTGCTGCAGGAGACGATCAGAGAACTGCTGAGAAATGTTTATGTTTTGCCTCATTACGTTGTTGCTGTTGCCCCGAGTCCCGAAAACCCCGTGGTGCATGTTGAAATACTGTCTACAGACTCTTTGGCGGAGGAGGCTGGATTGATAACCCCCCAAACAAGCATAAAAATTAAGGAGGTGATCACTTTAGAATGGTACAGACATTTGTCAGAAGGCACTGCAAAAACTTCGGTTGCAGGACTAGATGACGTGAGAAAGTCTTTGAAAGAAATGATTGCTCTGCCTTTGCGCTTTCCAAAAACTTTTAAGAAGCTGGGGCTTTCCGTCCCTCGTGGAGTGCTGTTAATTGGGCCCCCAGGTGTAGGGAAAACCCTTCTGGTAAAGGCAGTGGCAGAAGAGGTGGGTGCATTTCTGTTTGGCGTCAGTGGCCCAGCCCTCCATGGCTCCAGGCCAGGAGAAGGCGAAGAGAATTTGCGGAGGGTCTTTGAAAAGGGCAGAGAAATGTCGCAGGAAGGCCCAACCATTCTCTTCTTTGATGAAATCGATTCTTTGTGCCCGAAGCGAGGAAGTTCAAACAATGCTCCTGAGGACCGGATTGTTGCTCAGCTGCTGACGCTCCTGGATGGTGTAAGGAGCGAGGGTAAGATGGTCATTGTGGCAGCAACAAACAGGCCGGACGCCTTAGACCCTGCCCTGAGGAGACCTGGCAGATTTGACAGAGAGGTAAATTCACACACACTTTTATTCATGTTATTTATACACACTTTTGTCTTTTGTTATTGATGTGGAAGGAGGCTGTTAATAAAGTTTAATGTTCACTGGTCATGTTTCATAGTGGGATTCTACAGGCTTGAGCCAGATGTCCTGTTTCTTTAGTTTGGTGCAAATGGGGTAAGGTGAGGGGTTTTTTTTTCACTCGGAGAATTCCATATACTTGAAAATGGAGAATGGAATTCTTTATGCTTCTTTACCTGTCCTTGAGGGGTTTGTTTGCTTGCAAATGCTTAGCTTTACAGGCTTAGTTTTTTTTCATTTAAATTCTAGACTGAAGATTGATGCATCTCTCCTTAAAGGTTTATTGTGACAGAGAACTAGTAACCTCGTGTGTCAAAAATTCTATTCAGATTTTAGTAACAGAGGTCGAGTCTATTCTGGAAAACCTCTGTTAGCCTAGTAGCCAAAAGAACTAAAACACACTCAGTTGTGCAACTCACTGTTCTTTTGCTTGTGTTGTTTATTTTTCTGGCTAAACCCCGCTCCTGGATCATCAGTTTGGTCAAGATCTTTAATGCTTTCATAATTGTAATTTTCATTATTTTCCAGGATTTATAGATTGTTTTTATGAAGGTGTTTGAAGGTTATGAAGGAGATATATTTTTAAGAAGGTGTTTCCCTAGGGTTTTAATAATGTATGAATGTTTATCTCATTGATTCATTTTTTTTCCTGTCGTTTGAATCTGATTTAGTCCTTGTGATGCAAGGAAATGATTATTTCAGTGTTATGTTGAAATCACCTGAAAATGGGACTTAGTAGACACTAGCTGACAGTGTCTTATGAAGAACTGTACAAACACTATTCACTTGGAAATTAAGTGGTATTTTGAATATTTTTTATTTGTATAGTGCTGTTAATAGGTTTCTTAGAGCAATCTTTAGTTGAGTTGTAAGTAGTATAGTAGTTAATATAAACCTTTAGTAAGCAGTGTAAATCAGATATGAAAGCTCTATAAAATCGGATTAATATAGCGCAATATCTACATAATTTTTTTGTTTATTTTATTTGGTTTAGGTTATTATTGGGACCCCAACAGTTACACAAAGGAGATCCATCCTGCAGTTGCTGACATCTAATATGCCCATCTCTGCAGACGTTGATGTGGCTGAGCTGGCAGAGATGACCCCTGGGTACGTGGGCGCTGACCTCACAGCACTCTGCAGGGAAGCTGCTCTGCAGGCTGTGTCCCACAGCTCCTTGGTATGGCTGCCCATCAGTCAAGGACAGTGTCATTAATATACTCACCTTTCCTCATTAATGCTCAGCTTCACTCAAAAAGCTCAAGAAGTTGAAGACTCAGAAGTTAAAACACTAAAAAGCACCCAATATGTTACAAATGTATATATGCCATTTTTTCTAGTCTCACCTGAAAGGACTGTTTTCTTCTTTCTGAGTGAAAAGTTTTGCTGGAAGTTTGTATCCTCTTCAGGATTGTGCAAAGCAGACAATTTAGGCTTTTTCTGCAAAGTAAACTGTGTTCACCAAAACTCTCTTTTGAAGCTATTTAATTTCATTTATTATTTAATTTAATTTAGAATTCTGTTTTCTAGTAACTGCAAATTAAAGTTGATGCACAAGTATCAACTTGTGATATAACAGCTAGTGAAAATAAGTAATATCATCTGGGTTGTATAGCTGGATACAACACAAGATATACAAGGTATACAACTGCCTGGTGTGCAGAAAGTTAACCTCTTAGCAGTTCTCTAATTCCATTTATATAATGCCTATTTCTTAACACTCCTGTCTCTGTTCTGACTTTTACAAAAATTGTGAGATGGATGTTTGGTGTAGTTTTCCATCTGGAATGGCTGAGCAGAAATTAATGCCATATTTGCAGAATTTCCAGAGTTAAAAGCATCTGCAGAGAATGATAGAACCCTCTGTCTTCACTTGCATAGAAAAAAAAGAGAGCATAGTACTGAAAATAATAAAAATATTTGAGTCTGGTATCTCAGAAAAGAATAGATGGACAAATGAAAGTAATGAATAAGTGGATGGCCCATTTGCATGTGCCTTGTAAAATACATCTTAGTTCTGTTACTGCATCTGGAGTTTAATAATGTTACTGTTTAGCATGTTTGAGATAAAATGTGTTGCATTCTTCAGTGTGGTGAAAATGGATGTTGCAGCCTTTTTATTTCTATTCAGAAGATTGTATGATTTTTTGTTTTTGTGATAACCCTCAAATTAGCAACCATTTGATTTAGCAGATCACTGTCTACTGGAGCTGTAATTTAGGGAATAGTAGTTTTCTCTAGAACATTAATTTCTGTTAAAATAGATTTTTCCTGTGTAAAATCTTGCCATTAAGGAGAATGCATTTTACTTTATGTTGCATTTTTGCATCTGCAGTACTTAGGCTCATTAGGGCAGGAATTGGCTTCTTTATTAGTTGCATTTGGCCTTCTGTGAAGTGTTTTGCATACTAATGCAGCATTTAAGTATTACATAAAAATATTGTTAATATGCTTTATCTGTTTTGGTTTTTTTCAGGACTCAGCTGAAACTGAAACCAGGATTAACATGGGAGATTTCCAAGAAGCTTTTAAGAAAATTCAACCATCCTCTTTCCGAAGTGCAGTTGGACTAACAGAGTGCAAACCTGTGACTTGGGAGCAAATTGGTGGGCTTGAAGATGTAAAATTAAAGTTAAAACAGGTAACACATAGAACAAATTTAGATGAACAGCTGATTTCCAATAAGCATATGCTCCAAGGTGTCTGTATGCTAATTATGAAAATTAATTCTCTTGCAGATTACCTGATTATAAACTGTAATTTAAACATTTTTATTCTACATTAAGTTATTACAGTGTTTGAGCTAGAGGTCTCCCAGTTACGAGATGTCACCACCAAGTGTAATAATATCATGGGAAAATATGCATGTTTTTTAGTAGCTGCAAAATACTTAACTTGTAGCTGGATAATTTGTGCATTCCTTAATATTTAGCCAGTCATCTCTCCATGATTGCCTTTAGTTCTGCTTCAGATGGAAACTTTAAGAAAGGGGAATTATATGAAGAAAGACTAAATTAGTATTCCCTGATTTCAAATTAATGTTTGTATCAAGGAGAGGAAGTGACGTGCTTGGCAATTTTATTGACTGCCTAATGATCTACAGTCTTGTTACTAGGAAACTCTTTCCTTTTTTTATGTATTGACAGAGCGTTGAGTGGCCGATGAAGTTTCCTCAGGCATTTGCTAGAATGGGCCTGGCCCATCCCAAGGGAATCCTTCTCTATGGGCCTTCTGGCTGTGCCAAAACCACGCTGGTGAGGGCTGTGGCCACCAGCTGTCACTGTTCCTTTCTCTCCGTGAGTGGTGCTGACCTGTTCTCCCCTTATGTTGGAGACTCAGAGAAGATTTTGTCTCAGGTACAGTTTTTGATTTGTGTAAGGCCTATGGTTTAGTTTTGCTTGACTTTTGTAAAGTATTAGTTAGACCTAAATTTTGTCATTGAAAGAGTCATAGAGCTCTCGTCTGATTATTAAATAGAAATGGCTTAGAGATTCGCATTTATATAAAAGTGAGAATCTATCCCTAAAATTATAAAGTTTTAAACTTTATAAGTATTTCTACTCTTTTATTTTTAGTTCATTTAAGAATATAAATAAGCAGCAGAATTTGCCTACAGTAAATGTAAGCCAGAACAGCTCTTGTGAGTTGTTACAAATGTATCTTTAAACCTAAGTAAAATACAAAGTGTATGTAAATGGACTTTTTTCACCTTACCTGATACACTGTTTGACATCATTAACATTTTTTTAAAAGGTTTTTCGCCAAGCAAGAGCAAACACTCCAGCAATAATATTCCTGGATGAGATTGACTCTATCCTGGGCTCTCGCTCCCACGGCAGAAGTGGCAGGGGGGTCTCTGAGCGGGTTCTGTCTGTTCTCCTCAATGAGTTGGATGGTGTTGGGCTCAAAGTTACCGAAAGAAGAGGAGGCAAACTACAGCTTGAGGGGCAGTGCCAAGAGCAAAGTGATGAGGAGGAGAGAAAGGTATTTATGCTCCCTCTTCTATATAAGAAGAACAATAAATGCTGTCCAGTTGTTCCAGAAATTTTACTTGTTGGCATTCACGCTTTTTAGACTTCAAATCCTCAAGCTTTAAAATATGGAAGATGCACTTTTACTCTGTTGTAATTTCTAGTTTTTAGAAAATTCCTTATATAAGCTGCTGAGTGTTTTTACATACGCTGTTCTTCAAGGAGACTTTGTTTGAACAAAATACCCCCACAGGCTAATGAGCATTACTAGTTGGTGTTCATCTTCTGTCACAAAAATCCTCTTCTTGACACTACAGTAATTTTTTAGACTGATTGTGCTATTTTTACTCCTGTTCAAGTTCCTCTCTGAACTTACTTTTTACAAGCATTTCCCCTACTTCATTTGCAGTTCTTTCATGTACATACTGCATACAAGACCAGCACAGTTATGATGTTACTTGCTTAAACAAAAAGTTGTACCTTCACTTTTCAGTAAATGGTTCACAATATTTAATATTTAGCTTTTCTGTATTTAAATTTCTTCTTCTTATGATACTCTCTGGGGTAGTATTAAGGCAAACAATTCCACTATTGTAGGATACTGAATTTTTGCATGTAACAAAAAATCTTTTATAATCTGGTCAAGAAAAAGTCTCTGTTTCTTGTCAAGGCAGATACTAACTACATTTCCTCTTTGTCATGTAATCTGGCCTGCACCAAGGCATTTTCTTACTTCAAGGAAAATTAAATATCAATATGGAAAGGAAAATAAGTGCATGTAAAAGTACCTCATCTTTTTGCCCTTCCCTTCTTCTCATTAGTTTTTAACTAAAATCTTCAGGTATTATCCATCTTAACCACATTGCACTGACTTGTTGGTATGATCTCTTACTCAGCTAGAGTTTCAGGAAACTTTCAACAAAGATTTCATGGTAGTTGCTGCAACAAATAGACCAGATATGTTGGATGATGCCTTATTGCGTCCTGGAAGGTTGGACAAGATGATCTATATTCCACCCCCAGATCTGAAGGTGAAGTATTTATTACGTATCCATGTGTAGCTTTAAAGGTAGAGAGATTAATTGCCAACATACTTTACTTTAAGAGCAAAGGGGGCATATTCCTGTAACCTATTTAACAATTGATGGATGATTCACTGAAGCTCAGTCACCAAACTCAAGGTATAATGAAGAAATTTAAAAAGGAATAAAGACATTTGTACTTTAAGCACCTGTAACATTTTAACTTGTGCATGTTGTTATAGTATTGCATAAAGAAATCAGAGAAAACCTGTGTTTACAAAACCAAGCTACAATTCAGGGGATACCCATAACAAGTTATCTGTTCTTGCTTCAAATAATTTTTGTGCCCTGTTCCCAAGGATAGTGTTGCTACTTGTCCTGAGCTTCACAAAAAAAAGCTGACCCAAAGCAGGCCAAATATGGACTCTTCAGTCTAAAATACTGGGTTTTCATAACTAAGTAACTATGAATAACAGGCTTCAAAATATGAGATAGCCATAAGAGGAGGTATTATCTCCATTAATAGTATTTTATTCTTCCACCAAAACAAGGTAATTTTGGTATTCTAGATTTTCCTTGGTTCTAATTTCAGATTTTAACTGCTTTGGAGGAGGATTAATTTTTAGTTGGTTTTTTTTCCTGTACAATATACAGGGAAGACTTTCCATTTTGAGAATCTGCACTGAAAAAATTCCATTGGACACTGATGTGTCACTACAAGATGTGGCAGCCCTAACAGACCTCTTCTCTGGAGCTGATATTGAAAATCTGTGCAAGGAGGTAAGAAACATTCCTGGCTCATCTGGGAAATAAACTGTAAGTGAAAAAAACTTTGAATGAAAAAGGAGAGCTCACTCACAGATGTTACCAAGCCATCAGGAGTACGGATTCTTTCATAGTTTGTATTGAAAATATAAAGAGATTGAGTAATACAGGAGAACTGAACAAGGGTTAATTCTTTAAATAAAAAAGCCAGAATTTGAGCTAAGTTGTATAAAAGAGAGAAGACTAGGAAGAAAATCCAAGTATATAAGTGATCAAGGATACATTGTCTACTCCAGACAGAAAAAGTGAATGAAGAAGTTACAGTAACCTTATTTGGTGTTTATTTATTGTTAAATTACCGTAAATTATACATTGCTGTTTTCAGATGCTATAGCTAAGACTTTGCTCCTTGTAAGATATTTTAGAATACTTACAATAAATTCTTCACAATTTAGAACATGATAAGCACTTCAAGTTATTTTTTTTTCTTTTAAAGGCTGCTTTGTTGGCTTTGCAAGAGAATGGACTCGAAGCAACTGCTGTAAAACACGAGCATTTTGTGAAATCGTTGAAGACTGTAAAACCATCCTTAAACGTAAAAGACTTGGAATTTTATGAAAAATTTTATAATCAAGAATTAGGCTCTTGAATCAAAAAGGAGTGGCATAGGTATTTTTAAATATGTTGCAAAGGTTTTTAAAAGGCTTACATTTTTCTTGCTTTTTAATACTGTACTTACTGTAGTTCTCAGGGTGTATGAAATACAGTAAAATTTCCCTTGTCAAAGGTCTGTAATTTCAATAATGAATAATAAATTAAAATCTTGTTTGCTTTGGATAGGTTTACATCTGATGAAACAAGTAATTGAGATAGATAAAGCACTGTGGAACAGCTTAGTGTTACTGTAGATTTCTCAGTTTTCAGTATAAACAGTGGCATAACAAGAGTATTTAATTTAAAATGTGTTGAGACAGTGAATATTTAAAAAGTAGAAAAGGTTTCACATGTTAAGTAGGAGGAAGTAAGTCCCATTCTGTACAAAATGTAAAGTGTTTTATGTGTGCCTATTTACAGGCTTACTTTCTTACAAGCAGATTCCAAAATACAGTGGCAGTGAAAAGATTGCCAGTGCTTAATACGTTGTTGCATGTTTGGAAGTCTGGAGTGTTAGGAGTAATTTTAGGTCAGTTACTGCCTACATCAACTCAAAACTGTAATAATGTCTTTAGAGAAGGTAGTTTGCTTTATAACAATTTGTGCAAAATTCTTTTCCTCACCCAACCATTCTTTGTCAATATATTTTTTTAGGTCACCTTCTAAAATACACAGTTATATCCAAGGAAATTGGTATTACGTGTACATGTGCATTTTAACTTTCTAGAGTAAGAGGGGGTTTATTATTTTTTATTATATTTTCCTTTTCCCAGTGAAAATGTTCGTGAACTAAATACACCACTCTCAAAGATAGTTCCTTATTTCAGCTGAGGTTCATGAGTTATAAACCCATTAACAAATGTTTCTATCTCATAACAGGGACTGCACTGAGCGTGCTTTATAGTGAGATGGATCACAAAAGGCAGTTCCAAGGCCGTTGGTGATTGTGGAGGGCCAAAGGCCGTAGTAGAAGCCACTGTAATGTAGAAGAGGGTTTAATTATAAGCAACCATCTTACAGCCAGGTGGCTTTAATCACCATTTTATGGAAAGGACTATCTTACTGCTTTATTGCTGGCAACAACCTAGCAATGCTTGTGACCTTCCCAAACACCCAAAGGTTTCTCAGCAGCAGTGCTGACAAAAAGTGTTAAACCCTTCTGGGTAACTCTGTTTTGCTTCCCAGTGTTTGAGGGTTTGCATTAGAATTGCCAGACCTGAAAGTTGTGACAGCAAAATGCTGCCAGGTCCTTTGCCTCTAAGACCCCGCTGCTCAACTTCCATACTTGCTCCCTCGAGGGACCAACAGAGCTCCTTGTGCCCTGTGGTGTCTGTTCCTTGCTGCAGGGAGCCAGCAGAGCATGCAGTAAAGGCAGCCTCCTCTCCCTCTCGCTGCTTTCCAAGGCACAGGAGAGAAGGAGACAAACATGTGCAGGAGTCATCTGCTGGCACCATTCATCTCCAGCCTTCCCCTGGTAGGAGTTTTTCTCAGACAGGGATTATTGGGAAGAGGTGGGAGCTGTGTAATACAGTAGGGTAATGGGAACCTAAGCCTGGGTTAAGCTTTTGCTGCAGCAAAAGGTGACACGGTGACAATGGGGTCCTCTTTGGGTCACTATAGGCACCTCTCTGAGCTCTGGAAGGGGCAGGCCCTGGCCTCACCTGGCCATTCTTTGGGCAGCTGCCTGGAGAAGGGGACAGGCAAGAAGACAAAGGAGAAAGGGAGAAGCAAGGTTTGAGTGCTGCAGTAACGGAGACAGAAGGAGTTGCGGGAGGAAGGCAGGAAGAGCACATGCCGCATCCCGCTCTCCTGGCACCTCTTTGGGGCCGGGAGCTCCTCGGGGCGCTCCCCTGCGCGTACCGCCGCGGGCCGGGGGGTGGCACTGCTGGCCCGGCCCGTCCTGTCCCGTCCCGCCTCTGCGGCCGGGGCGCGGTGCGGCGCGTATATAACGCGGTGCGTGGGGAGCGCGGGGAGCACCGTCCCCGCAGCCCGGTACCGGCACCGTCCTGCCCCTCTGCCCCGGGGTGCGGCAACACCAACCGCTTGTGCCAGGGCTGCAGCCGCCGCCACGATGAACAGGAGCATCTTCCAGACACTTAAAACAAAAAAAGAAGTAAGTTTTTGCCGGGGCCGTGGTGCGCTCCCGCGGGGAGGGACGCACCTGGTGCGGGCAGGTGCGCCGGGACTGGCCCTGGATAGAGAGCACCTTCCCGAGAAATGGTGAGAGCGAGGGACCCGCGGTAAAATGAGGTGGTGTGAAGAGTAATGCAGAGGTGGAATAGACCCCAGCAGCTAATCCCCTGAGTGTGTATAACCCCTGCTCCCCCAACTCGAGGCTCTCAGCCGGGACACCTGTTCAGCTCTTTCTCCGTTTTGTCTTTCAGCTCATTCCCCTGGCTGGAATATTGTCCATGGCAGCAATTGGGGCGTTCTCTTTTAGTGTCTATTCCCTGCTCTGCAAATCTGATGTGATGTAAGCAAAATACTTCTTATTTGGTGCTCACTCTAACCTTTCTGTATTCGACAGAAGTATTTGACCATGTTTTACACCAAAAAAATAAAAATGAAAAAAAAAAAATCCATGTGCATGTTCCAGACTGCTATTAACAACTGAATTATCGGCAGATTGTTAAATAGCAAAGAAATTAATTCATTTGAACCATAATCCAAATTATTTCCTAATTTTTGATTTAACATTTTTTCTTTGCTTTAGTTGTAACAGGTTTTAAATGCTCTTATCAAGAATTACAGATAATCAGATAGGTAGGTGAGATGCAGATATGTTGCAACCAGGCTATTGACTTGTATATAAAGAACAGCACTTAATAATATTAACATAAGAGAGTATTCTAATAGCTTAGTTATTAATTGGAATTAAGTCCTATACTCTTCAAGCTTTGGGAAGTTTATTTATTTACTTTGAAGTGATTGAAATAGGCATTTTAGCTGTCAGGGTCAGAGTCCCCTTACTTTGTGTCCTTACTCAGTTTTGATTTTTCAGCTTGCTTCCCTCACAATGACACATGACACACAAACACTGTTGGCTTGGTTGGTCCTTTGGAAGATGCACATAAAGCAAGCCATTGTTGATTCCTACCCAGAACACCCTGAAAAGTTGTGTTTTGGGGAACTCCTTACTGAAGTGATGATAGGCTGCTCATATAAGAAAAATGTATGGAAGAACACACCTTAAAACATAGTCCCTGTCTTGTTTTATCTTCTTTTAAAGGATTAACAAGAGTGGCAATCCAGAACCTTGGGAAAATATTGATCCTTCCAAGCCTCAGAAGGTAATTTATGTGTACAACACAGTCAGTGTAAATAGCATATATTTCCAACACGGCGAGTAAGAAGTGGGTAAGAATTAGTAAGATATTAATGAGGAAACACATGTAAAGCTGATGTATATCTAATTAATAGTGGAAACAAATTTTTAGTTCATTACTTTGTATCTTCCCTGTATTACCTAATGATAGGGATTCAGCTGTTACATTCTAGGTCTGATCCTGAGCTTGTGGTGCACTTCTGGTTGCTGTGCTGTGTCAGTCCCACCCCCAACATCCATTTACTCAATTCCACTGGTAACAGTGGAAATTTGGAGTACAGAGGAAGGCTGTTTCCTCTTGTTACTGAATTACAAAATTGACTAAGAATATTTGAGTACTGAAGCCTGAAGGAAAAATATCTTCATTTAGTAGAGCATCCAGTATAAGGAAAACCAAAATTATTTGGCATTATTACCTCTGCAATATCCAAATTATTCTGTTCAACAAATTACTATATATGTCATCAGTTGCTATTTTTGCATACCTCTGAAAGAAAAATGTAAAGCTGCTAGAAATTCTTCACCAATAAGTTGGTGTATGACTTGGGGGGTGTGGGAGTGCAGTTATTGTTCACTGGGATTTTCCTAACTTTCATATTTTCTGTTTCTTCCAGCTATTAACAATCCAACAGAAATGGCAACCTATAGAAGAGCTGGAAAGTGTCAAAAAGCTTATGAAGTGAGAAGTTTCTGTTGCCTCAAAAAGGTACCCTATGCATCTAGTGGAATCACTTCTGCACAAACTTGACTACAGAAATCAGTGTGCGGAAATGCTTCTGCTACATTTTTAGGGTCTCCCTCCATTTTTTTTTGGACTCTGAATGCGGACTTTCATGTTGCTTTAGAAGTTGGCAAACAGCATCCACATAGTCCAAAAAATCTGACTCAAATATTCATTTTCAGAAGGCATTTGATGTCAGATGTTGAATATTCAGATGGTAATTATAGATGGGAAAAACATCCACAGTTTTTGTAGAATTTTGAGATTTTTTTTCAAAATACATTAGTTTGTTACTTTATAAATTTTTAATGAAATAAATTCTAAATTTTTACATCATTTTATGTAAATTCCATAAATGGAGGTTACCCAAAAGCCCTTCTAAACTGGGTTTCCTGGTCTGCTTCCTCTCTGTACTGTATTTCAATGCAGTATATAGACCAAAGTCATATCTGGAGGATGTCTTCGTATGGCAACATGTGTGGTCATAAAGTACACTTATATTTCTTGTCTACATTAGATGTGACAACAGCTTAAGTCAAAACTAATGTTCTGCTGCAAATACCCAAACTTATATGTGTGTTCACCTTGACCTGCTGAGGAGTCCAGTAGGTTATTTAAGGGTGTGTTTGAGACTGATTAGAACTTAAGAATTGAGCGTTGCTAAAACAGAAATGAAAATGAGATAATTTCTGTTGTGCTTGAATATTGTTCATGTTCAAATTTAGCAAAAGTTACTATAATTAGGAAACCTGCATTATCCAAAACAATGTTAAATTTCTTCTTTTTGTGCAAGATTGTTCAAGTGCAAGCTCAAATGTACTGCACACTTAACAATATTTTTAAACATTTCTGTGTGCTCTTAGGAACATCTACTTTATCAAATAGAAACTAACATATTAAAATTAGAAATGATTCTATGAAGAGACAGTTCCTTTTTAAGCATCTGTGTGTTTTCTTCTGGGTTGGCCAGGGAAAGGATGTAATGGGCAGATCCCCAGTAAATTAATGAGACAAGAAATCCATCCAATGATAGAACAGTCCTTTTGTAGATATTTTCTGTATTTCTGTAGATATTTTCTATCTTCTAAACAGTTACACAGTCTATTACTCAGTTTCTTTTACAATGGATGTTCAGAAGGCAGATTAGTTTCTGTCAGGAAGAAAGCAAAAGTGAAACAACTGCTAACTGGAAGAAGTCCCCTGAAGTGAGTAATAGTCAAGTGCTTGAGGTTACTCTGCTGCAGCAAAGACAAACTTCAGCTAGAAAAGCTGTCTCCCAAATTTCAAGGTGGCTTGGCTTCAGAAGCTTGATGTTTTCTTCAGCTGATAAAAAAAAAAAAAAAGGTTAAGATGTTCCTTTATCAGATTCAGCATAAATATTTATCAAGTAATGATGACTCAGCAGCTTTTATGTTTTAGAATGAGAGGAACTACTAGTTTTCAGAATACCTTCATAGCTTTCATTTTAAGGAATGACATTACAAGGCTGGATAGCGTAGAACCACAAAGATTCAGTGCTCTGAGGAATACAAGTCTGAAGTATTTCAATACAGAAAATATTTCAAAATATTTCTCAAAGTTATTCTGTATTTCCATATTTTTACTGGACTGTACCAAACAAAACAAAGTGCTGTGCTCTGAGTTGATGCATTAATTAAATGAGTGTGTTCTTCAGTACATCAGTTGTATGGTCTGTAAATACTCTGACCTAAGTATCTGTCAACACTGAGGAAATAAATGTAAGTAATTTTTATATAATTTTTGTATTTAACTACTTTTCAGTGATGTTTCCAGTAACATATTAAGCAGTATGACTGCTATCAGTCACGGGTTGTTGCTTCTCTCATCCTGTCCTGAAGCATAACAGCTTTGGTAATAAACTGTTTTGCTTTGTTAGGTGCTCTGTTTTTTGGTTTTTAATATAGATTTGTTGGGAGGGTTGTGACATAATGTGAGAAATCAAAATATTTTCCTGCATTTCAAAAAGATTATGAGTGTTGTGAAAATTCTTGGGATTTTGTGTCTGGGATTTTTTTTTTCTCTGACTGTCCCTAAAAATCTGCCTCTTGCATAGGTGAGGAAGTAGAGCACACCAAGAACAATTACTGTACTTCCTGAGCTCAACTACTCAGTGTAAATATATACAACAATATACAAATTCTTTCCTTGTTCTACAAATAGTAAAGGTTCAGTTGGCTGAACTTCCCTGTCCTGTGTTAAGCAAATCCATGACTTTATTCTATGGAAAATTTAGAGGCAATTGAAATAATTTACAACTTTTTTCCTTCTCTCTAT